TACAAGGAACATAATACGTACTTTTACCTATAAAATCTATTATATTGTTTTCATCCTAATATATTCCAGAATGAACTATTATCTATATAGAGTACTACTCGAAACACTACTTTCTATTGTTGAAAATACGATAGGTACTTGTACCTATATTTCTTTTGTTGTTATTAATATTTTGAGTCAAAAAAACTTTTAAGGCGAAGGATAATATGAGAAATATTTCAATTTGGAAAGAGAACACGTTTTGTTTGAAGCCAAAATGACAACATTTTGAGCTGACGTCATTGATTTGTTATTTTGTTTTTGTCTTTGTCCATAATTATGTTGAACTTGAAACGCTCGAAAATTCTGCATTAAATTATTTCTAAATCCTAAATATTATTAGAGTGTCTCAATAATCACAATAAAATTGTTTTGCTGATCCGTAATGTACCAAAATATTGTGAAGAAACAAAGATTCAGAGTTAAGAGAAAACCGAGGAAACCTTTTTAAAGATAATCAGATTCTTGGTAATAGATACGAACCTTCTTGATGTTTGAAGTCCAGTGGTGGTTTAATTGCTTGAATATTAAGTAACACGGGGCCGCAGCCGTGTTGCGACTCTCGAAACAATGTCATTTACTACGGAATATGAAATTTTTAAGATCGAAGTCTTGGCATCTAGCCCGAACCGCAATTTTTTGTTCCACTTTATGTAAAAAGGGTTCCCTAAGCATCATGATTCTCAAATTGTATACCTGATATAGGAGTTGGGGGACCTTTAGCATTGTTTTGAAAGGTCGTTTCAGGTTTCGATTTCAAATACACGTTATTGAGTACCTAATACAAAACATTGTGAAAAAAGCTATCTTTAGTTACCTATTTTTTATATACAGTGGAAGAAGTATGGGTAAATTTTAGACGTAGGAGGAAAACGCTTCATTTTCGAATCCTTTCATAACGTAAACTAATTTCCGAGTAGTCCTGTATCTTAGAATTTCATACGTTCGAGGCAATCAATGGCTGTATGTACCAGTGACCTAGTCAACTCGAATGTATGTGACTGTAATTGCACGCTGACATGCAATGATTGCTCGTTCTCGTGCACTGATTTGATTGCTAGTTTGCCGCCTCCATTCACATATGATTCGATTCAATAACTTATTATATAATTCCTCCATTACCCCGCTTATAGCGAAGATTAAAAATGAAGATTGGTTATAGTTATAGCTTTTAGCGATTCTTAAACTAAAACTATAGTATTGTCATGTACGTAGACACACGTATGCATTGTAGATTTATTTAGTTAGATTGCAATAAATAGTTCCTACTAATGTATTGATTTGAATAGCGTTATTCGAATTCCAAACTAGAACTTCACAGACAGTGAGAAGTGTTCACTTTGGTTACAGATTAGCTACCTACATATTTTTTGTTATCTATATTTTCAGAATTTATTGTAAGACTACGGTATAATTTTGTTTTTAACTAAGTAAAGTAGGTATGTTTGAATCATACATTCTGCTTTGAATATTTCGTTTGATGGATGGTCAAAGTTTGATGAAGTTAAATTCGACTTAGACGTAGTTCACAAGTCAATTTCGAGCACAGATGTTCAATTATATTTTTCTTATTTATGTTTTTTTTTCTTAGACATTAGTTATATTTTTTAATTAAGGTATACTGTTACTGGCGCCAAGTAATAAAGAGAGAGAGAGTTTACTAAAAGCTTACTAAAACACACAAAGATTCGAGTTCTCTACCACAATAAATTAGCAAAGAGATCATCCTTTAGTTTTGTCAGTTGGTAGTAAAGTTTTAGCGGAACTAAAGGGAGTGGTTTTATAATTTTCTTTGCTCATTTAAGCCGGCAGGTTGGCAGCGACGCTTTGAATGGGCCGGTAATATTGCTACCGCCACTGTGATTCACTTTCCATTCAGCTGCCAGTGGCATTAATGCTAATTAGTTTTTAGTTACCTGGTATTAAAGTACTAATTGTTTTATTCTATTATTTATTTACTAAGGTTCTTTTTGAATTGTGTTTGATTAGATTAATGAAGAGAGACCGTGTGATCTCGAGTTTATGTAGGTATCACAGATTTTGTCTGTTGAATGTTCTGTATATTTTTTTTTCATTTGGTTTATCCATAATATTATACAACTTGAAATGGCAGTGTCACTGCATACAATGTTCTAATTAATTGTTTTAAATAATAAACAAATATAAACGGCACAGAATTATATACATGTCCTTTCTCTGTAGGTTTAAAATTGACTCTAACTCGGTGAATACATTCATCGATGTTGTCGGATTCGCGTGTTCTCAAAGGGAGACACGTCAAAGGAAACGTCTTATCAATGTAAAGGGCTTGATACTCAGGCCGATTGATTGAACGACGTACCTATAGCTTTACAATCATCGAGAGAACATATTATTATAACTTACGACGACTTACCTATGTCTCAAGTAAACTCTTTCCAGTTTAATTAACCCTGCCATCTTTGAATACTGATGTCTGCAGTTTACGCCACGCATATAATGAAGTCTGAAGTCTGAAGTCTGGTCTAGTGTATACGATTACAGCAAAGTATTTGCTTGGAAATGTAAATAGACAATTTTAGACTCGATAGAAATACTTGATAATATTTTAAAACAAATCTCCCAAGCCTATGTCGCAGCATTTTAAAAGTAGAACAGATTCTTCTAAAAAACCTTGCGCATCCTCACTCCGTTCTATAATCATAATGTATTGAGTTAAAACTTAGATGGCGACGCGCGCTTCTTACATCGAGTTAGGAGGTCGGCAATGGCGACCGCGACCCTAATACAAAGATACGGTAACAACTATCATTAGGAGGACAAAGAAATTTCCACAAGTTTTTTCTTTATAAGTGAATTTTTCTTTAGTTTTTCTTACATGTAGTTTCAATGTTTAGTAGTATGACTAGACACTAGACGTGAAGTTCAAGAGTTTTATTTCTATCTAATGTGTTTCGTATTTTTTGTTTAAGAGACAATGACGATATAAAAGTCTAATACCTTACCTGGACAAGGACAGAAGTTGGGCAAGTTTAATGATATACAACGTAGTAAATGTAAGTAAAATCTTAGACCTAGATGATCCTAAACGAAGGTCGTATACTTCATTTTAGTAGGTAAATGTACTAAGTACTTACTGACTGCTACTAAAATCCGCGTAGCGACGTTCAAAGGCGTCTCTTTCTACCACTTTTACTACATAATTATGTTGTGTCTTGTTAAAATCCCAGTAACTAATGTTGTAAATACTCTAGTACCTACTTAGACACTTACAACAAAATACTATTTCTTCAACAGCAAGAATATAAGAATAACATAATCTAAAATAAAAAAAATGTTTAGCTTCAATAAAATAACGAAGTTGTTTGACATCGAGTGACCTTTAATAATTATTTTTCCTTTGTTGCAGCGATAAAAAGTGGTTGCGGGGCGTCATTGGAGCCTACGAGAGCTCTCGAAGGGAGAAGGATACTTGGGATCGTACAAAATGTGCCAAATTGACAACTCAGGTCGCGATCGCACTTCTGATATTGCAGTGCGCGGAGTCCTTTGATTATTATCTCTTGTTACTATGGTGCTTAGGCAAACGTTTCTTTAAAGGAAATGTCTTTACACAATGAGTGGAATAAAATTTAAAAAGTTTGAACTTTCCTTGTTATCTATATTTATATTAAACGTTTGATTCAAGACTTTATACCTTTAAGGATAAAGTTTATATAAATAAAAAACCTGTAAGATATACATATTTTACAATATAATAGGAAAAGGTATCGTAGTACAACTTCTACTATAATCTTTTCAGCGTTATATGTTTACGCTGTTTTTATAGAGATTTGTTCAGGTACTCGTTTTACACATACTACTCTGTATCGCTCATAAGTCCACATTTCTCCGGGATCTCCGTCTGAATGGGTATGTAGACACTTTCCAAATAGCTCGTTCGACATAAAGCGATAGCGGAGTCTCCATACATTTGCGATAAGCTTCACTTAAACCCTAAAATTGTTTGCCCTTTATGTATCTCGAACTCTGTCATCATAACAAGGTATCTAGGTGTCTTTTCTGCAATAATTTTACTTAGTTAACTTGTAACTTGCATGTATTGTAACATTAAAAATTTGGGTTTCCATTTGGTTCAAGTAGTTGATACTTTTGGTATGTTCAGAGAAACAGTTAGGAATGAAATAAAAAAAAAAAAATTCACTTTATTTACTTACACTTTGAAATTAATGTTAAAATCATTCTTAAAATTGGTTTTAACTTGTTGGGCAACTAATTTAGGTGCTTACTCTTAATTTAGTTTTTATTTTAGTTTTAAAATCCTTATTAAGTCTACTACAAGTGACAAGCTTCATTGTTGGCAGTTCGCTTACTCACCCCCGGGTAACAGTTTTAATTTTCTTGTGCCAACATTATCACGTAACCAATTAAAATACTGTTATAATACCTAAACCCCGTTTTCATTAATTAACCGCTGCAAGAGGATTATTTATTACATTATAATTCGTCCCACGTTGAACCTTGCCCCTCAATTTTATGCGAACCTCAATTTATTCGGCAGTTACACAATGATCGTGTGTCTGTGTAATAACAACACTTTTTTACAGTTGGATATTTATTTAAATTCATAGTTAAACAATTTGACCATTACGTATTGTAAATCTTACCGAGATAATATTCCATCCATGAATGAATCTCAATCGCTGGCCATGTCTAGTGAGACCACTAAATCGTAGAGGAACATTAGCACGTTACTGAGTAAGAATATAATATTTACGATTTGAACGCTGGGTCGGTCGGATGAGAGAGCGCGGGGATCCGATAGAACGAACAGATGTCCCAAAAGCACGACGGCGCTTGGAATAGGAGGCGAGAGAGTCTCGAACTGTTCCAAAACATATCCAATTGCCATCAGTATATGACCAATATATGGCAGATATACTTCGAGAATAGATTTTAAGTTCAACATTTGAAACCAGCTTCTATCCAGTTGCCATGGCGTTAGTGTTACGAAGCGACTTTTTCAACTCCTGGTACTCTCCGATGATGGAGAGAATATTTGCGAATACGAAGAATCTGTTCACACTGAAGTCACGCCGCATATGCTGGAAGTATAAAATGTCTTCTATGACGCTGCACGTGTCGGATATCAGAGCGAGGAAGTGCCCGAAGAGTATGAGTACGCTCGCCAAGAGGCACGGGTTGTAGTCCTCGCAGAACACTTTACCAAAAAGGTATCCAAGTACCACTAAGCAATTTCCAGCCATTGATAGGTAAAAGTCTACTGCTGACATGAAAAATCTGATAACACACGCTTGGCAGTCTCCTATTGTAGAGTTGCATTGTGTGAATAGCTCCTTCGGTATGCAGAACTTCATATTTGCTTGTGTGACTCCATTAGCTTGACAGGCAATACTTTTCGTTTCACTTAAGCTTTACACCGTACCTTCAGACCATCGTTCAAGTCTGTCGATATTCCAAGTTGTTAACACCAAACTTCTTTCTGCATATCATTTCCTATCAGCATCTTAGGAATATTGTTTTTAATAATATGAACGCAAAGTACTTTGTTTAGATTTTGTGATTCATTTTGATTGTTTTGACAATGTCATAATTTTTCCATAGATCTAAATATTTCTACAGTTAAAATAGTTTGGTAAACATAAAGATTTCACTTTGAAAAAATTTAGGAATATTGAATTTTACATAAAGAAACGAATACCTTTGTTGAAAGTTTTCTCGAGACCTCTGCAGTCATCGTTGGCAAATATTATTGGAATATTATACAGTTGTGGCGGGCAGGTAGACCGGCACATACATAGGTATTTGTTTTTAGTGAAGAAAAGGGTAAATTCCTCCGGGAGCGGAATGTCTCGAGCGCGGTTTCAGATATAAAACGCCATGCACACGTGGGACAGTATAGGTAATAAACTATTTTTTTGGATTCACATCTTAAAGCATGTGCCGGGTATATTAACGAACTGTTCATTTAAATGAAAAAGATAATTTTGTATTCAAAATTGCTCATCATCATCAGATTACGAACAGGAATCAGAGTACAAAGAAAAAGCTGTATGTTGAAGTGAATATGACGTATGTACGCACTTCTACTTCCTTGATGGTAATATTTCATAAGATATTAAATTATATTGTTACACATTAAATACGGAATTGCTATGACCGAACAAAAGAAATCTCTAAATGAATTATATTCCCCAAGACACCTTGTGTATAATCAAATTATAAGGGTTGGAATTGCAAATACGCTGTAAATTCGTCTGCCTGATGAAGGAAAAAATATTTATTTTATACGTAAGTTTGTTACTGAAACTCTATAATTGTCATTAGCTTAAGTCGTGGCTATTGTTTTTATATGTATTTTTTTACTTAAAAATCAGATATTAAGTACATAACCTCACTCTTAGCACTTAAAACCAAATGTAAACGTGAAAGCTGCTTTGTCGAGAGATTTTTTGTCTAGGAATTTTGAACATTGTTGTGTTTCATAGTTTGGCACATAGCCAACAATATAGTGTGGTTTTATCAATTTCCAACTTACAAAATATTTAAAGCCAAAAATGGTTTTAACTTGGGCTGGCAGTGTGTTTGTCTGAAAATAATACAGAAAGCGTATGTTGAAAAGTTATGTAGATCCGCGATCCCTGACACACTGTTCACTAATAAGATGGATGAAGGGCATCTGCCATATTTTCATGTTTATAGGAAGATATAAAAGCCATCGCTCATAGCTAGATAATTTGCAAGTTGCTTGTTGTCGCGTCCTTTGGCGTCGACGTGACTCGTGACTGATCGCTTCTCCACTTCTTTTGTGTCATTAAAGTTTTCCAAGATTTTAGACAGTTTTATGATTTGTTGACAGAACCGCTCTATGTGTTTCGTATTGCTTTTATTTCATGTCATATTCTGTGGGTTTTGGCTTCAACTAATTAAATTTGTACTTAAGCAATTGGATAGTTTTAAAGGAGTACGTCTCAACAGTGTAAAAAATACTACTTTGAAAAATGTTATAGTGAGCTTAAAATCATTTCATAATACCTATAATTTTCCCTCGCATTAGGATTTAGAAAAATATTTTCGCAAAACTTTATTTTTCCTGACAAAGGCCTGGGTCGGCTGTAGGAAAAGTATGAAAAATGCAGTCAGGGTAGGCGGAGTGGTGTAAGATTCATTTCCTGTACTTATATAAGCGGTGTGGTGCATTCTAGAGGAGTTGTGAGGTGTTAACTCGTGCGAGAGTTTCTCGAGTGCAATTGAACATGGTTTCCCTCGTTAAACCGTCGCTATCGAGTTTTGAAGAGAATTTAAAAGTCTCCGAATCATACTAAATATTATTCAAGTTACAATAGTATTCCGCGGAAATTTACATTTCCTTGACGATAGGTAACAATGAGAAGTCGACTAAACTAGGTTGGTGGGTATTAAAACTTGAACTATGTTTTTATTCGGTCTAATGAGTGTGACAAAATGTACCATACTATCTAAGAAGACTTTAATTGCGAAAGGACATCGCATTAAGTGCGTCTAGCCTAGCTATCTTAGACTGAGAGAGCAGTTAAATCAAAAACTTAAAACTTAAATCTCTCTAAGACTTAAAATAGTAGCAAACCCGTTAAAAGTCTGCTAAGTGATAATGAATCGTTAGAAGTGCTTGTTGACATTGACTAACATCATCTCATCGGTCGATAGTTGGCAAACTGTCAAGTTTCCTCGTGCCCTTGCGATGCTGAACCAAAGCACGCCATCATGAGACGCTACCTTTACGAGACTTATATTTTCTCAACATTATCTTGTCGTTAGCATATGTTGTATATGGCCTGATATGATCAACATATCCGGTATAATCCGACCTCTCACTCTTTAAAATATATATGTACCACAAGGTCATTATATAAAGGTTCATGTTGATAGATGATTCTTATTTGTGGTACGTATGTTTATAGAACTGACTGTACTACGTTCGGCGCTCTGCATATTCTTCACGCTGAAGTCCCATCAATAATTTGCCGTGATAAAAATAAAAAGCATTAGGAAACATGAAAGAGAAAATTCACAAATTAATCCCAATACCAAAATAGACCGTAATTTGAGCTCAAGGATGCCGTTTGCAGAAGATCCGTGACAAGAGTTTCTTCTGCGGCCAATGCTTTGTCGCCTGAAGACATCGTTTCGTCAACGTCTATAAACAGGTTTGTAAAGAGCTCTCGTAAATATTCAGCCTCTTAAATATGTAAGTTGGAAGTTGAAAGGACCTTTCTCCACGCACCGTCGGCCGAGATAAGCACGTTTGGATCCGATACTTCGAGGTAACGTGTCGTCAGGGGAAGATAGCAGCCGTATTCAATTCGTGTGCAGTGCAACAAGCGTAAGTACTTCAATGTTCATCTTTGGTGTTTTTATTTTGATTTATGTTGAAGGTTGAGAGAAATACTTTTTGTATTTTAATTTCGGATTCTAAAGACAGGTGTTAATACAAAAAAATTGGTATACTATTTCAGTTCGGTGCGAATCGTACTGTTCGCATATGTTTGCCATTTTTTATCACAGTAACGTTGAATTTGTAGGCACAAGATAGTATTTTTAGTAAACATAATCTACAACAAACAACTTAGAGAGTATTCTAGTTACTAAAATATTTTTGCTTTTTATTTGACGATGATGAATAGCGATGTCTAAAACGCCTTTGTTTCAGAATGTCTTTTTTTACGAACTATACAATATATAGTTTCGTAGTGTAACGAGATTTTTTCATGCCATTAAATTCTATTTCAGATGATCTCAGTTTACAACTTAAAGTTGGTTAGATAAGTTAAAATATTTGTTAACGTGAATAAATTGGCCTGAAATCCTGAATCAACTTTTAACTATTTAGGTAACTTAAAAGTTTCAATATTAATTTTTCAGTATTCTGTTTCATTCTAAAGTCAAAGCTCGACTCTAAAGGATAAAAATGTCAATGTTATACTACTTAGGGTATAAAAAGAAGTTTGTGGAAAACTAAAATAAAAGTTGGAAGTAAATCTGTTTGGAAATCCGTTCTATTAATTTCTAAGTCTGTAGGTATTCCCGGAGTGTCGCTGGAAGGATTCCGGGACTGCCGCTATCCCGCGGCGGCGTTCCTACGTAAGCTCCGTGCACTTCCCTGCGGTGTACACCACTAAATCTAGTATCGAAACTGTTTCTAATTCAAACGTGGAACCGCTTCCAACTGTCTTTTATTTAATTTCTCCATTTCTCGAAGGAAATCGGATATCTAAGTGATCAGCTTGTTTACAAATCCGAGGAGTGCGCTGTTCCATCTGAGATTTGGATCTCAAAACAATTATAAAAATAACGTGCCAGATGATAGGAAATTGTAATTATTATAGCGCCGAAACCCTAACAAAGAAAATTAATTAGGTATACGTACTTACAGGTCACAGTCCTCTTCCATCTACCTCCCTAAGTAGACGAATAGAAAAACCTTTCCATTCCATATGTACTTATAACATCCGAAAGAGGGCGCCACAAGGAGACGTAGCTGATCGACAATGAGCAATGTATGACATGACATAAGCAAGATTTTCCCGCCAATTAATTGACACATCGATCTATTAATCTATGATTATTTCGAAAAGTTCATAAAATTAGTAACTACATATGTAATCTGTGTCGAATCTTTGGAAAAATGAAAAGGCGTGATATTAAGTAGATAATGTTAATTATGCGAACCGTTTTTTTCATTGAAGTGAAGATTAGTGTAGGTATGGATTATGATGGATTATTATGTATAGATTGATCGTAAAGCCCTCTTCTGCAGAACAAAGATAGATGTCATGTCACAGCTTTTCCCAACAACAGAATACCATATGACATGATGCTATGGAAATAGCTAAAATAAACTAGCCGTGCTTGTACTGATTTATTTTATTCCAAATTTTTTTACTTGTAGATTATTTTTTCTTGAGTATTTAATCTTCTTCAAATAATATTTCTGTAATTTAAAAAGTACTTAACTGTAGGTGAAAGTATGTTGCTTTACCATAAACTTTGTTCGGGCCTCGTTATCTTGCGTGTTATATTTATTTAAAGACTTGAACATGACACGTTTGATCTTCAAAAACCTAATAAAACTTGGACGTTGGTCTTGTACTCCCGAAATGTTTTTATACTTTACGCGATACGCCGACATATAAAATACTAGCTTTTGCCCGCGACTTCTTTGGCGTGGAATAGTGATTTCCTGCAGATGTTTTGGTATAAAATCTATCCTATGTCCTTTCTAGAGTTTCAAACTATGTCTGTTCCAAATAGGTATCACAGAAATCGGTGTAGTAGTTTAGGCGTGAAGAAAAGAAAGACAGACAGACAGAGTTACTTT